TCAAGGGTCAACTACAACAGGAGGACACACACAATTCTTGGGGACACAAGGGACACACCTGGAGCAGAGGGCTCAGGTGACCAGGTAGACTGTGCCACTGGGCCCCACAGGATGCCTACATCATAAGGCCACTCTACCAAGACCAGGAAACATAACAGCTCTACCTAATATGTAAGAACAAACAGGGAATCACCAAAAATGAGGAGACAAAGAAATAATTCCGAAATGAAAGAACAAGACAAAATTCTAGAAAAAGAACTAAGTGAAATGGAGACAAGCAATTACCAGTTACAGAGTTCAAAACCCTGGTTAAAGGATGCTCAATAAACTTAGGGGAAGAATAGATGAACTCAATGAGAACTTCAACAAAGAGATAGTAAACATAAAAAATGACACAGGAACCATAAAAAAGGGACAAAAATGAAGAATAAAATAACTGAAATGAAGAATTCACTAGAAGGAATGGATAGCAGATTAAATTAAACAGAGGATCAAGTGAGCGATTTAGAAGACAAAGTAGCAGAAAAACATCCAATCTGAAGAGCAACAAGAAAAAAGAATTTAAAAAGTGGTGATAGTTTAAGGGATTTCTGAGACAACATGAAGTGTAACAACATTCACATCATAAGGGTACCAGAAGGAGAAGACAGAGATCAAGGGATTGGGAACCTATTTGAAGACATAATGATGGAAAACTTCCCTAACCTGGTGAAAGGAATAGATGTACATGCCCAGGAAGCACAGAGAGCCCCCCAAAAGATGAACCCAAAGAGGCCCACATCAAGACACATCATAATTAAAATTCAAAGGTTAGAAACAAAGAGAGAATCTTAAAAGCAGCAAGAGAAAGCAGTTAGTTATTTACAAGAGTGCTCCTATAAGACTGTCAGCTGATTTCTCAACAGAAACTTTGCAGGCCATAAGGGATTGGTGGGAAATATTTAGAGTGAACAAAAGCAAGGACTTACAACCAAGACTACTCTAAGCAGCAAGGCTATCATTTAAAATTGAAAAAGAGATAGAACTTTCCATACAAGAAAAAAATAAAGGAGTTCATCAACACCAAGCCAGTATAACAAGAAATGTTAAAGCGGGGAGGGGGGCGGGGAGGAGGAAGAGGAGGAGGAAGAGGAGGAGGAAGATGAAGAAAAAAACATAAATATGAATAATAAAATGGCAATAACTATGTACCTATTAATAATCATTTTAAATGTATATGGATTAAATGCTCCAAGCAAAAGACATAGGTTAGCTGAATGGATAAGAAAGCAAGACCCGTGTATGTGCTGTCTACGAGACCTAATTCACATCTAAAGACACACACAGATTGAAAGTAAAGGAATGAAAAAAGATAATTTATGCAAAGGGAACTGAAAAAAACTGGGGTAGAAATACTTATATCTGACAAAATAGACTTTAAAACAAAGGCTGTGACAAGAGAAAAAGAAGGACGTTTCATAAAGACAAAAAGATCTATCCAACAAGAGACTATAACTCTTGTAAATATTTACGAATCCTACATAGGAGCACCTAAATATTTAAAGCAAAATGTTGACAGAAATAAAGAGAGAGATCGACAGTGATAGTCATAGTAGGGGATTTTAACACCCTATTGACATCAATGGGTAGATCATCCAGACAGAAAATCAACAAGGAAACAGTGGCCTTAAATGACACATTAGAGCTGATGGACTTAATTGATATTTTTAAAACATTTCACCCCAAAGCAGTAGAATATACATTTTTTTCAAGTGCACATGGAAAGTTTTCCAAGATAGACTACATGTTAGGCCACAAAATAAGTCTCAGTAAATTTATGAAGATTGAGATCAAATCAAGTATCCTTTCCTATCAGAATGGTATGAAACTAGGAATCAATTACATGACAAAAACTGAAAAACGCACAAACATATGGAGAATAAATAACATGCTACTAAGCAAGGGACAGGTTAACAATGAGATCAAGGAAGAAAACAAAAAGATACCTTAAGGAAAAAAAAACCCCCACAATGACCCAAGATCTATGGGACGCAGTAAAACAATCTTAAGAGGGAAATTCATAGCATTATAGGTCTACCTCAAGAAACAAGAAAAATCTCAAATAAACAATCTAACTTTACATCTAAAGGAACTAGAAAAAGTACAACAAACAAAGCTCAAAGTGAGTAGAAGGAAGGAAATAATAAAGATCAGAGCAAAAGTAAAAGAAATAGAGTCTAAAAAAATTAAAAAGATCAATGAAACCCATAGCTGGTTTTTTGAAAAGATAAACAAAATCGATAAACCTTTAATCAGACTAATCTCAATCATCAAGAAAAAAAAAAGACAGATAAATAAAATCAGAAGTGAAAGAGAAGTGACAACTGACACCACAGAAATACAAAAGATTACTAGGGAATACTACAATTATATGCCAACAAATTGGATAACCTGAAAGAAATGCCTAAATTCCTAGAAACATACCATATTCCAAGACTAAGTCAAGAGGAAACAGAAAATCTGAACAGACCGAACCTACTAATGAAATCAAATCAATAATCAAAAAACTCCCAACAAAAAAAAATCCAAAATTTATAAAGAGCTCATATAACCCAATACCAAAACAAAACAAAACAAAAAAACAAACGATCTAACTAAAAAATGGGCAGAGGACTTGAATAGACATTTCTCCGAAGAGGACATACAGATGGCAAACAGACATATGAAAAGATGCTCAAAATCACTAATCATCAGAGAAATGCAAATTAAAACCACAATGAGCTAACACCTCACAGCTTTTAGAATGGCTATCATCAATAAATCAATAATCAAGTTTTGGTGAGGATGTGGGAGAAAAGAACCCCATGCACTTATGGTGGGATTGCAAATTGGTGTAGCCAGTATAGAATACAGTACAGAAGTTCCTCAAAAAATTAAAAATAGAACCACCATATGTCCCAGAAATTCCACCTCTGGGTATTTATTCAAAAAAATTCAAAACAGCAACTTGAAAATCATATGCATCTCTATGTCATTGCAGCATTATTTACAATAGCCAAAATATGGAGGCAAGCTGGGTGTCTATCAATAGATAATAGAGGTGGTACATATATATATAATGGAGTATTACCCATAAAAAAATGAAATCTTGCCATGTGCAACAACATAGATGAACCCAGAGGGTATTATGCTAAGTGAAATAAGTCAAAGTCAAATGCAACATGATTTTGCTTATATGTGGAATCTTAAAAATCCAATAAATGAACAAACAAAACAGAAAAAGATTCACAAAGACAGAGAACAAACTAATAGTTGACAAATGAGAAGGGGTTTGCGGGGCTGGGTGAAAAAGGGATTAGGAAGTACAAATTAGAGGTTACAAAATAGTCCTGGGGATGTAGTCAAGAATATTGTAATATAGTTAATGATATTGTAATAACTATGTATGGTGTCAGGGAGGACCTAAACTTATCAGGGGATCACCTCGCAAGTTATATAAATGTCTAAATGCTTTGCTGTATATCTGAAACTAAAATAATATTAATTATCAACTGTAATTGAAAAATAAAAATAATTAAAAAATTTTTAATTTGTAAATTAGGTACAGTAAAAAATTAACAATAACTAATAATAAAATAGAACAATTATAACAATATACTCTAATAAAAGTTATGTGAATGTGATCTCTCTCTTTCTCAAAATATCTGATAAACAAGATGGCTACTAAGTGACAAATGGATGGGTGTCGTGCAAGATTTCATTACACTACTTAGAAAGGTGTACAGTTTAAAACTTATAAATTGTTTATTTGTGGAATTTTCCATATAATATTTTTGGACCACGGTTGAACTCAGGTAACTGAAATTGCAGAAAGCAAAACCACAGATAAAGTACTACTGTATAAGAAAAAACATAGTATATATACGGTTCAGTACTAGCTGCAGTTTCAGGTATCCCCTGTGTATATGGGGATACTACTGGACTAGCAGACAGTGCTTGACATGATTTTAGGTGGTGAACCACAAAATAAGATTATCTCAATCTTCTCATTTAATGTAAGAAGATAGTTTACATATCTTTAACTCCTCCTTAACATTTGCTAATCAATCTTTTCAAGGTTGTAAGAGGAGGTCTCAGGCATTGAAGATTCCAATTCCAGGCCCAAAATCCTATCTGTGATCTCTCTGACTCAACCATAGGCAATAACAAGGCTGCCTGTTATGCCTCCTGGGAAAAGCTGTCTTTCTGGCACCAAACTTGGTGCACAGGCAGTGTACTGTAGTTTCCTTGAGGGTGTTGCTGTTACAGGACTCAGTGTCCACTTTCCATGCTCATATGCATATCTGCTTTCCTGTCCTAGGCACTTCCATTTGAAGACCTTCTGGGGGAGTTACCTTGCCAGTTTTTCTTCTTTTTCCTCTCATTCCCCCTCCCCTGGCCTAAGGGTCCAAAAAGATACAGGAGCCTTGAGATGATTCCTGCCTGTGTTGCGTCCACTCAACCCTCACCCAGGGCTCTTTGGTGGGTAAAATGGAACACCGAACACCACAGAGCTGGAGCCTCTTTTTCTCTTTTGCTTGTACATAAATACTCAACTGTTACTTTTAGTTTGGCTCCCTGTCTTGATTGTTCAACAGGGTAGAGGTGGCAAGCAAGTAACACATTTAGCTTGAAATGAATAATATCATTTTATTCTTAATTGTATTATGTTTACCTTAACCCATTACCCTTTGTTAAAGCAAATGGCACAGGGTTTCTGTTTCAGATATAAAATGTCCTCCCTAAGTGAATTTATTTAAGGGAAAAAAAAGTGAGTTACTTACTTGGAAAAATTAGTAAAAAGTGAATAAAGTAAGGTATTGGGGGTAAGCGCATATACTGAAATAAGAGTGACTTAGTTTGGGGAAAACTGGTATAACTCAATGCTTCTAAGGAATTATTTGGCCTTCAAAGGGAATGGTGACCAAAACACTTATGCTGATATGCACATGTCTATTAAACAGTGGTAAGAGCACACTTACATCCCGTATAGCTTCATAGAGTGCTTTGAAAGTTGGCTGCTTGTCATCATGGTAGACACCTCGGTTCCCATGCAGAACAGACACACCTTCAAGCTCAGCCTCTTTGCAGTTGCTTCCATACATGCAGTGATCAGGACGGTAGTTCCACTGGCAGGGGAACACATAGAGACACTCTGGTGGTGACAAGAGAAAGACATGTGTCCACAGTCAGTGCCAGCTCTCCTCTGCATGCCTGGTGATTAAACCAAAGTTTCCATAAACTGCACAGCACACATAATTTAAATGCATGAGTGTGATTATGACTCAGACCAAATTTCACTACATGTGTAAAGATTTTGATAACAGGGATTGAAGTGGCACACAATAGTGGTGTTGTAGGCTTCACTCCCCAAAAGGAGGGCAGTATAACATCATGGACAAGGAGCAAACAACGGCATTAGGCAGCTGGGGTCTGAATCCCAACTCTCTCACACAAATACAGTGAAATCTGGGTCCAGTGATTCAATTTCCCTGTGCTTCAGTTTCCTCATCTGTAAGATGAGAATAGCGGGACCTCCTTCTTATTTTGATTATTGAACTTGTACACACACACACACACACACACACACACACACACACATGTTTAGCAAAGCGCTAAGCACACAGTGGTGGTCAATAGCGTTAGTAGCTATAATCATCTCTTTGGAAAGGTTTTGTGAAATGGACAAATCCAAAAAATAGAAGTCAAGATTGAAGCAAAGATTCCTCTTAGCAATTAAAAACCAACCAACAAACGAAAGCAAAACAAAGGGAAAAAAACAAACAAAAAATTACAACAGCAAATGGAAAAAAGTCCAAAGAAAAAAGCAAAGCCAAAAGAAGTCCCTATGCCAAAGTTACTATATATACTGTGGGTGAGCATGTGCGTACACATACTTTTGTATGTTTGTATCTATAATCCAGTGGTCTTAGCAAGGGGCAATATTACCCCCTTCCTCTGGGGCCATTTGATGATATTTGGAGGGAGACATTGGTTGTCATATATGAGAGAGGCTGCTACCAATATCTGGTAGGTTGAGAACAGGGATGTTCCAAACATCCCACAATGAACAGGAGAGTCCCCACATCAGTAATAGTACCAAGGTCAAGAAACTCTGCTGTAATCCTGTTGAACTCAGAAAGTTTCCTCTTAGTGACTAGGATTATACAATTAGCAATAAATTCACGATCCCCTAGCTTCCTGGCTCCTCAACTTGATGCCTCCAAGGGCAAGGGCTAAAGGAATATGGATCAAAACTCTTTGTGAATGTGGTTAAGGATCATGGGAAAGAAAGGCCCCACGTTAGAGCACAGGATTAGAGCAAATCAATTACCATGGTCAGAAAAGCAATTTAAAGATGTGCTTTTTGGTTGGGTTGACAGCATCCCCTTCTCGCAAAGAGGACCACTGATTAGAGATTACTTACAGAAAGCTTCAAGGTAGAAAGCAAAGGATGAAGAGATCATCACACCTCCCTTTTGGCAGACTGTGTATAGTATTTCTTCTGCTCAATCTTTACAGGTAACAGTGACATCCAGGCACCCTCCATCAAATTCCTAATTGTTTACAACACACTATGAGATTTTCTTTTTCTTTGGATAACTTCATCTTACAATGCATTATGTTTCTCTTGCATTCACCTCTCTACACTTGCACATACATAATCCATAGTTGGGATGGAGAAGTGGTCATCCTGAAGTCACATTATCTAGATTTGAATCCCAACTCCTCTATTAGACTTTTCTGCACTTTAGTGAAGAGGGTGGGTGTATGGATTATATGAGTAAAAATACCTAAAATTACTTTTGTGCCTTTTTACTGTACTTTACCCCAGCCCAATTGTTTCCTTTTGTAACCTAATGAATTGTCCTAAAACCCATCTCTGTTTTTGTAAATACACTGATCAATTGAATCAACAAATATTTATTGAGTGCCTGCTATGTGTACAATTCCTGCATTCATGGACTTTAGGATGGGCAATGAAAATTTTTGCTTTTTCCCAAGTAGTATAGGAACCCACTACAAAAGGAAACCTTTTCTCTCTTTGCAGCCTCCTTAGAGGACCGAGGCCCGTGAGGGCACTCTAAGGCAGAAGGTGAAACAGAAAGGCTTTGGAATCAGACTGACATAAATTCGAAGCTGGCTTCTATCATCTCCTAGCTCTATAACTTTGGTGACTTACTGAAACCCTTGACCTCAATTTAGAAGCAGTAAAGAGAAGCTGAATTATCCTGGTTTGAATCACAGCTTTATCATGTGTTAGCTGTGATCTAATAGCAGAGGAGTTAATAGAGCAAGCTCTGGAGTTAATCTACTGGGTTTGAATACAGAACTCTACCACTAGTTATGAGAACTCAAGCAAAATCATAAGTTTTCAGGGCCTTGGTTTCATCATCTGTAAAAGTGAGAAGAATTGTAAATATCACTTATCTAATAGGATTTCAGTGAGTATTAAATGAGTTCATATATATATATGTACTTGGAACAGTGCCTGGCACATAGAGGCACACAATAAATGTAAGCTGTAATAATTACTATTATTGTTATTGTTATAACAAGAACTATTGCATTAGGTTGCTGAAAGGATAAAACAAGATAACTTAAGTTGAATGAGCCTAGCATAGTTCCTGATACATAGTACACTGGTGATGTGTATTTTTTAAATAATTTTTTATTTTTCAATTACAGTATGCATACTAACATATTAGTTTCGGGTGTATAACATGGTGATTAGACATTTATATAACCTACAAAGTGATCATCTTGATAAATCTGGTACTCATCTGACACCATACATAGTTATTACAATATTATTGATGATATTCCTTATGCTATACTTTATATTTCCATGACTATTTTGTAACTACCAATTTGTACTTCTTAATCCCTTCACTTTTTTCACCTAGCCCCCCAACAACCCTCCCATCTGACAACCCTCAAAATATTCTCTATATCTATGAGTTTGTTTCTGTCTTGTTTGTTTATTTCGTTCTTTAGATTCCACATGTAAGTGAAATCATATGGCATTTGTCTTTCTTTGTCTGACTTACTCCACTCAGCACAATACCCTCTACGTTCATTTTTGTTGTTGCAGATGGCAAGAGTTCACTTCTATGGGTGAGTAATATTCCATTGTATATATGTACCACCTTTTCTTTATCCAGTTATCTATTGATGGACACCCAGCTTGGCTCCATATCTTGGCTATTGTAAATAACGCTGCAATGAACACAGGGATTCACATGTTCCTTTGAAGTAGGGTTTTCAGTTTGTTTGGATAAATACACAGAAGTAGGATTACTGGATCCTTCTTTTTCTTGTTATAGCCTTTGTTTCAAAGTTTATTTTATCCGATATAAGTATTGCTACCCTAGTTTTTTGTTTGTTTCCGTTTTCACAAAATATCTTTTTCCATCCCTTTACCTTGAGTCTGTGCGTGTCTTTCCATCTGCAGTGAGTGTCTTGTAGGTAGCGTATGCAAGGGTCTTGTTTTCTTATCCATTCGGCCACCCTATCTTTGGACTGGAGCAATTAATTCATTTACATTTAAAGTAATTGTTGATAAATATGTAGTTATTGCCATTTTATTATTCATATTTCAAATCCTTTTTCTTCTTCTTTAAGAAGTCCTGATAACATTTCTTGTAACACTGGTTTGGTGTTGATGAATTCCTTTACCTTTTTCTTGTATGGGAAGCTCTTTATCCATCTTTTCATTCTAAAAGATAGCCTTGCTGCATAATCTTGGTTGTAGGTCCTTGCATTTCATCACTTTGAATATTTTCTGCCAATCCTTCTAGCCTGCAGTTTCTGCTGAGAAATCAGCTGACAGTCTTATAGGAGCACTCTTGCAGGTAACTAACTGTTTTTCTCTTGCTGCTTTTAAGATTCTCTCTTTGTCTTTAACCTTTGGCGTCTGAATTATGATGTGTCTTAGTGTGAGCCTCTTTGAGTTCATCTTATTTGAGATTCTCTGAGCTTCTTGGGCTTGTATGTCTATTTCCTTCATCAGGTTAGGGGAGTTTTTCTTCATTACGTCTTCAAATATGTTCTCAATCCTTTGGTCTTTCTTGTCTCCTTTTGATATCCCTATAAGGAGAACGTTGATACACTTGATTCTGTCCCAGAGTTCCCTTAAATTATCCTCATTTTTACTGTTCTTTTCTCTTGTTGCTGTTCCGATTGGGTGTTTTCTGCTATTTTATCTCCTAAATCACCGATTTGATCCTCTGCTTCATCTAATGCATTGTAGTCTTATTTCTGTTTAGTTCTTTTTTATGTTTTCTATCTCCATTTTTGTATTTTCTCTCTCTTTAAAATTCTCATTGAGCTCATCTACTCGTCCCCTAAGTTCATTGAGCATCCTTATAACAAGTGTTTTGAACTCTGCATCTGTTAGAATGCTTGTCTCCATTTTGTTTAGTTCTTTTTCTGGAGCTGTGCCCTGTTCTTTCACTTGGGACATGTTTCTTTGTCTTTCCATTTTGGATGCTTCCCTGTGTTTGTTTCTCTGTGTTAGGTAGGGCTCCTATGTCTGCCAGTCTTAGTAAAGTGGCCTTATGTAGTAGGCATCCTGTGGAGCCAAGCGATGCAGTCTTCCCTGGTCACCTTAGCCAAGTGCTCCAGGTGTGTCCCTGTATGGTTTATGTGTACCCTCCTGTTGTAGTTGGGCTTTGGTTGCTGTTTGCACATCAATGGATGGGACTGACCCTCAGGCTGATTGGTTGTGAGAACTGGCCAGTGAGGGGCTGATCCTATGGAGCAGAACTGGCTCTAGCAGGACTCTGGTGCTTGCCCTGTCTGCCCTTTGGGTGTGTCATCCTTGGCTACAGCCCAGATGGTGCTCCAGCTTCATCAGGAGCCAGCCACCTAGTGTGCTGGCCCCAGGGTCTCCTGGGAGGGGTCCCGTTGCAGCCTAAGTCCAGCCATAGCCTGTGCTGGGCCAGGGACAACCTGGAAAGAATCACCAAGCAATCATAAGATGGCTGCCACCTGCCCTGGGCTTAGAGGTGCCTTGAGAGCTGCAAATTGCAAACTGAGGATTGCTGCTGCTAGTGCCATGCTTGGAGCTACTCAACAAGAGATATGGGGCATGCTGAGGCAAGATGCTGTTTATTTGGGTTTTGTGAATGTTTGAGAGATTTTAGGAGTCAC